TTCCTTATTAAGGAAGAATAAATCAAATCGTATTAAATATATAGTTTTATTTCACATTATGTACAGTTTAGAATAAACACTGATAACTGCTCTCAGATGTGAGGTCTAACTAAATTCACTTTATGAGACCATTCTAAGTTCAGCCTGTGTGATACATAGCTGCTGCTGAAGAGCTGCAGCTTCTGCATTGGTGGTTGGCTATCTGCATTACTGAATATAGGGGTCGGTCAGGCATCCTGGAAGCACGTGCTTTGTTTTCCTTGGAACTGGGTGGCTGCGTCGTGATACTAAAGACCTGCTTTCCTTCCTCACATGAATGAATGACTACGTATGATGGGCATTCTGCTGGAGCTAGAAATACAGTGGTGACTACATACACATTCAAATTATTATAACCACTGTAAAGGAAGGGATGTGACATTTGAGTTAGATTTAAAGGTAAGGGTAGGTACAATTACCCTTACCTTTAGGTAAGGGTAGAGAAAGGGTAGAGGAAGAATTGAAGACATATGGAAGACGTGTGCAAAGGCCTTATATTAAGAGAAAGGAGAGCCAAGGAGGTCAATGAAGCCTAGTTATGCTGGTGGTGGTGTTCCGAGACCAACCAAAGAGTGGTTGGGCTTAGGTCACAGGGACTTCTTGGAATCTAAGAAGCATTTTGGTCTTTGCCTTAAGGCAAACAAGAAGCTACTGAAGAATTTTAAAGAGAGGGTAGCAAAATTTATCTTTTATTTTAGATTTTTAAAATACTTACCTGAGGATATGCTTATTGACTTTAGAGAGAAGGGACAGAAAGGGATAAGGAGAGTGAGGAAGGGGGGGGAGTGAGGGGGGGGGGGAAGAGAGAGAGACATTGATTGGTTGCCTCTTGTAAACATCCTGACCAGGGACTGAATTCACAATGTAGACATGTGCCCTGACTAGGAATCAAACCTAAATCCTTTCTGTTTTTTATGAAATGGCGCTCTAACTAACCGAGCCACACTCGCCAGAACAAGAGTTATCTTTTAAAAAACTGCTTTTGCTAGGGGGTGTTCTATGTCTCTCTCTTATCTGACAGGACAAACAGCCTCTACTGATAAAACTTACCTTGTTTCTTTTCTGGGGGTGATAGCTATAAAATTTCAAGAAAACATGGAATTATACTGAGGCTCAAATCTAGGAAATAAAATAAAGTTCTATAACTTACCTTTTAGTTACTTGTGCCATATATACTATTTATAAAGTTGTTTTTGTTTGTTTATTTGTTTGTTTGTTTTCTACCAGGGAATCTCATTCACTAAGTTTTAGAGATATTCCAGTATGGTCTTAAAGAAGGGATTTGTTTTGGACTAGTTGGAGTCTCCTCCTTTCTAATCAAATTGTCCTTGCTGTCTTCACCTTCCCAACTTCTATTCCAGGCTCTCAAACCTGCTCTGTCGACAACTGCTCCAGTGACTTGGTCGCTAAATACAAAAGACATTTTAATGTTTATCCTAGTTGACCTATCTGAAGCCAATTCTTTCTGGAAGTGCTTTCTTTCTGTGCTTTCCATGAAAACACATTTTAAGCTTTTTGTTTTGTCAAAATTATCCCTTTTAAAAAATATTTATTTATTTTTATTTTTTGAGAGAGGGGAAGAGAGGGAGAAAGAGAAGAAAAGAAAACATTGGTGTGAGAGAAAAACACTGACTGGTTGCCTCTTGTACACATGCCCACTGGGGACTGCACCTACATCCCAGGCATGTGCCCTGAGGGGGAATCAAACCGGTGACTTTTTGCTTTGCAGAATGATGCCAAACTGAACCATACCATTCGAGGGTAAAAGTATTTCTTAATGCTTCTCAATTCTCTTCTGGGGCTTGTTTTCTCCTAGTCTGCCTTTAATTACTGGTGTATTCTCCTCTCTACGCATTCTCACTTGATTTCAACCCATTTAATCATCTATACAGCTAATGACTCCTAACTATGATTTCTCTTCAGCGCAGTCTTCTATCATGAGCATCAGATATACATAACCACCTAGTAGGCATCGCCACTTGACCATTCTGCAAATATCCACAACTCAGTATGTCTAAGATCGGGTTCACGGTCTCATTTCATTCCCCTCTCTGACTCAGCCCGTTCCTCCTCTTCCCTCTCACTGGGATATTGGGCCCCACTGTGTTCAAGCCCCAAACCTTTGCATCGTCCTTGACATCTATTTCTCACCACACGACTGAATGAATCCTTTTGATTGAAACTTAAATCTCCCTTGCATCTTTAGTTTCTTTCTAGCCCCATTACCATTATATTAATTTAGAATGCATGCTCTTATTTTCTTAAGTGGATTAAAGCAACAGTCTTTCCCTTGTTCTTTGCCTTGAGTGAATTTTCTACAGCACAAGTAGTAATGCATCATTACCTGGAGTAAAACTCTTCAATGACTGCTCACTGTTCCTTGGATAAAGTCCAAGTTCCTTAGACATCATCTGCAATGCTCTTCATGCTTCTCTTTCCAGCTCATTTCTCACTGCTCACCTGTTTACCTCTACACTCCAGCCAAGACCAACCACCAGGATGAACACCCCTAGAACGCTGACCCTATGCACTTTTACTTAATCGGCTCCTACTCATCCTTCAGATTTCAGGGTGGATTTGAGCTTCTCTAAGAAATCTGACCTGCAGTCTGGATTAGGTGGTCCTCTCATGTGTTCCTAAAATATTCTAACCTTTCAACTGGGTAGATGCCAAACATCTGCCCCCCTTTTGCCCCCCCAACCCGAACCATTTGATATCTAGTGCTTAGAGAAGTATTTACTAAATATTTGTGGAATTGATTAATTAATTCCTGGTTCCTTAGGCCTGCTTCATGTGGTTTTTAAATTTTTATGTCTTAATGGCTGACTAGAATCTTTGTGACTGGTGTGAACCTTACAGAGAATACAAGCTGTGGGTGTCTAGTGGTTAAAATAAGGCTTACAGGTTAATTGCTTTGTCAACACTAAGAGTAATGAAAAGTCTAAGATTTCTAAAGGAAATAAAAGAAACAAAAGTAAACATAAATAACTTCCATGAGTTACTACTTTAGAGGGGGATTTTAAATGAATTCTCATTACCACAGCATCATTGTGCATTTCAGTAGTTTTTCTGGAATACTATAAACAAGAGCTACTGGAGGCCCCCTGGTGGCTGAGTGACCATCTGCTTGTAGTGACTCGAAATAATCCTTGAAAAAGGGTCATTCATTCAATAAATATTTATTGAGCAACTATATATCTATATCTATCTATCTATCTATCTATCTATCTATCTATCTCTATCAACACATATATAGCGAAGTATATAGTAAGTGTGTGGGGATACAAGAGTAACAAATGCAGATAAGAATGTCTGACCTTACAGGTTTTGTTCTCCATTTTATCGTTAAGTGCTTGAAGGAATTGCTTACTAAATACTTATGAATTAATCAATGTGTCTTAAGGCAGCTCCTAACATGAGTCATTCTGCACTTCCTTCCACCTTGATGGCCTTTCACTCCAGATGTGACACCACGTGACAGGTCCACAGAGAAGGGAGGCAGGCTGTGACAGGACTCTCCTTGAAGTCACCTCCACAGCTCTCCTAGTTTCCATATTTCTCTGGCCTTAACATAATTTTTAAACTATAATTTAGTATAATCACAGTCAACATTAGCTTGTAAAATTTAAAGCAGGTCCCCTTCTAGTGAATAATGTAAGAAATTATCTTTCGTCATTACTTGATGATCCTGGCTGTGGTAATTATACACAAATGTTATCCACACATTCTGGGATAATCCCTTAATTTTAGCAAATTTCACACCTGCTCTGTCCATCTTATTTAAGAAGAAATCAAATTTGTTTTATATACATACATCTATATATTTATTTATTTATTTTTAGCAGTTTCTCTGTACCATATGTAAAAAATTAAGACTTGAATAAAATCAGCCCAAGCTCCTCTCAGTCTGCTTTATCTACATGCTTTAGGGATTATAAAGATAAAAGTAAGGTTATTGTTTCTTTGAGAGCTAACTACTCAGTGAAGCATTCATTCAGGTTTCTTCAAAAGGGACTACTTGGTTTATCAGCAGCCTGATAACACTAAAACATGCCTTATATCACATTTACAGACATCAGAATTCTTTCAAAATATGTAGCTAATAATCAGGATGAGTGTCATTTACTTTTGTTTTGGTCTCCAGGGAATGTTGTTTACTTTGCTTTAAAATTTATGTGAGTCATTTTGATTATATGCCTTTTTTAATTAGCTTGAAGGAAGCAATCACTGGGGAGAAAGCGGAAATCAATTCTGATCCGATATTGATAGCTACTGTGCTGTAAATTGTGTGTCCTTTCTAATTAAATGTAAACATGTTCAGTTCTAAAGTCCAGCAGCAATGACAACAGTCGCTAGGAAAGATTGCTCAAGTACTGCTCAACCGATCTGCCTGGCCTTTATTTTTTTCACAGTTGTGCTTGTGTAATCATTGCTGGGGTGTAACTGGCTTTTTCTAGGTCATCTTCAGAGAAAAGATTTGACAAGAATGTAGAGTCCTCTGTAATACCTCAAGTTACTTATTAACTATGTCCTTCTGATAGCTAATCAATGGCATTGCACGGAGTCAAATTGGTTGCACTAAACGGCCCCCCTGTCCGAAGCCAAGTCTTGGTAAATATTTAATGGCAGTAAAGGTGTTTTGTTAGTTATCAAACTGATATATAAAGGACTCTTAAAAGCGACTTTATCTTGCCTCCCCTTTCCATAAATATTTCTGCTCCTCGATATCATTTATAGGTATAAAAGCGTTTGGATTTCATTTTGTTGAGGATATTGCTCAGAAAAAGACCAAAAAAAAAAAAAAGAATAAATGCTTTTAAAATGCTCCTTTTAATCAGTACTATGTCACTTAAAAATAAGAGGAAAAACAAACCACACCCAAACTTCTCTCTCTGGTGAAATGCCAACTCAAAGCATAAAACCACCGCAGGCCCCTTCCCCTGAAGACAGCCTACACCAGACCTGTTCAGAACCCGCTGCGCAGCTGCTGCGGTGAGGAAATGCGGCGAGGCTTCCGTTGCCATATGGCAGCCACGTGCTCTGTACAGATCAGAGACATTTGGATTTTCGCTTTGTATTCAACGTAGTAAAGGTTGGGTTTTACATCTTTACCTTTTCAATGATCTGTTGAGTGTTAAGCTTCCTTGTTTTACTTCATCTAACCCCTAACTAGGTGAAAACAAAAATGACAGCTTCATGTTTTAAATAAGGAAGAAAGGTCTTCAGACTTAAGTTTTATGAGAATACTTGGTAATTGCTTAGGATCTTTCTAAAAAGAAGGCTGATTTCTTTAAATGTATACTTATTTCATGCTTTCAGATTTTAAAGAAAGTTAAGACATTTAAAAAAATTCTGGCATACATCTTTGTCTAAAAATGTAATACTAAATTTAATAGTAAAAACTGACCTATGAAGAATGAATTTTACTAACCTAACTGTAGAAAGTCATAAATTATTTCCTAAGTATCAAATAAGAGCTGGTGACTCAAAGCATTTTGCTGTATTAATGATTGATTCTTCAAGGTTCACCCACCACCCAAAGGGCTACAACTTAAAAAAAGTGTGAGAGTAAAAAGGTTAAAGTTAAGTTTTCAGAATGGGACAGTATTACAAATGTTCCCAAACCGAGGCGAAAACACTGGATTTTGCAATATTGGGATGATCTCTTTATTTTACTTTGTGGTGATCTGAAAGGAATGTTTATGGAATTGTTTTTTTTTTTGCTTGGCATGGCTGGTGGATGGAAGAGAAAGAGCCTCCTGCTGTGGGCGGCATGTGCAGTTAGTATTTAACATATTACTGCTGATTGTCCAACTGCTCTGGAGGCCAGGTTTCTGAATTTTTCCTAAATTCCTAGTAATTAATAATATGGTGTTGTATACTTGGAGAGAGCAAGGTACCATGCTCTAACTTTAAAAGGAGTTTCATTTTATACATTGCTGATGTTGATATGTCAAAGTTTAGAAAGGTGGCATAGAATATGTTTTTTACTTAGTATTTCTGGTTTCATCTCTTAAAGACATGTCTACATTGGTTTTGATCTCTGAAATATGATGTGATATAATATTTCACTACTTCTTAAATTTTGGCCAGGGACCCAGGTCAGATCAGGACTAGGGTCAGGCCAGTAGGTACATGTCTGGGACCTCAATTTAAAATGGTTACAAAACCCTCACTGGCACAAATTAAAATATGGTGCTAGTTAACTTGTGCTGAACAGGTAACCAATTACTCATGTAAATGGAAAAAAAATGAACATTGGATATAATGCTGCTGCAATAGGTAAATACCTATATTGGAAAATGAAAATAATGTTTTCTGGCCCTGATACACAAGTATGTATTATAATGTTTAATGACAAATCACATCCCCTACATTTTGCCAGTCAGCTAATTTCTGACTGGGAAAAAATAATATATGGTGTGATACCACAGGTGATTTAGTTCTAAACCACTTACTAAATTTCTTCAGAAACTGTCTGGTTTGGAAAATTTCCAAAGACAAGCAGAAGCTACAGGAGTACACAATAGGAGACCATGAGGGAAGGCATTCTTGGAACACATGATGTCTAAGCTGAGTCTTGAAAAAGAAGTAGGAGCTGCTCAACCAAATAAGGGTCCATAAAGGGTATTCCAGCTAACGAAGGTCATGTGTATCAGCCCTAGTCCAAGAGGCTCTAACCTCTCACCTACTTCCCACTGTACCTTCTACATCAAGACTCCCAGACACCTATTGGTTGGTTTTTATAACTTATGCTTTATTTCAAATTTTGTATTTTTATGATAAGCCCTCTTTTTATAACTGTAAAATAAATTTATTGTGAACAAAGAATATATTGCTACAATGCTCCTTTTAATAGTAAAGACCTATCAGAATATTATTCAAGTACCAAAAATAATATTAGTTACCCTTTTTGACAACTATTCAATTATAAAAACCATCCTTTGAAGGTAGCCTGTAAAGTGAATTTTCATACATTATACTTATTTCCCAAAAGATGTGCTAGTCTTATGAGAAAAAATTAGGATGAACTGAAATATTTTGATACTACAGAAAGTTCTGAAATCATAAATACAAGATTTTATAATACTTTGATATCGCTATAGTCTGCTAATCTCCGACGATAGGAGGTTTATTTTGGGGAGTGACAAATACAACTACCAGATCTCTTTGAAGTAAGTAAACTATCAAAACAACCAACCATTTAACAGCTAACAAACTAACAGCTAAATGATATAGGAAGGAAGTTTTCTACTTTTTGTCCTTAAAGGCCAGTATTTCACTGGTTTTGGATTGGAATAGTGGATTTGGGTGAGATGACACTGCTCCTGAGCTTTCTATAACAATGAATATTAGGCTCCTTCCAGTAAGATAGACTGTATTTCCTTTAGCTGAAAAATTCACAGCTAGAACCTGCATGTTTTTTTATTTAGCTAAGTTCCTATTATAGGTATGTATTGAACTTACCCATAATGCAAGTATAAATATATTCTCAACTATAATTTGTTCTCTACTTGGAGAATATGCAAATATCATTTAGCTATATTTATTTAGGTTGGGGAATACACATCTGATTTTGTTCACTACTTTAAGAATATATCTGCTAATTGAAAGGTAGATTCAAGTAGGAAAAAATGTAGAAGAACACTGATTTAGATGAGGAAAGAATTGAAAGCTAGTTTTCAGTTTATTTTATTCAGTTGATTCCTGCTATGGGTATGGTGAATTCACATATAAAAAGCTGTCGATATTAATATAATGTAGGTAAACCTATATTTTCATCTATATGATATTAATGACAAAGGTCTTCTGCAATGATATCGTCAGCATTTACTATATATATATTTTTTTAATTTAAGATTATTTATTTATTTATCTTTTAGAGGGGAAGGAGAGAGGGAGAGAAACACCAATGTATGGTTGCCTTTCGTGTGTCCCCTGCTGGGAACTGGCCTGCAACCCAGGCATATGCCCTGACTGGGAATCAAACCATGATCCTCTGGTTCGCAGGCCTGTGCTCAATCCACTGAGCTACATCAGCCAGGGCAGCATTTACTATATTTTTTGTAATTTATTGAAGCACATTGCAAAACAGAATACAACAGCAAATGATTAATTACTTTAATGACAACATGACATATGAATGAAATAAATCCAATTTAGTAGACATGAATTTTCCAAATTTAAGCTATTAAGGAAATCACTGATATCACAATAAAGTAAATTTAAAAAATTAAAAACACAGTCATCATGAATAAGACAATTTCTAAAAGTGCATGCTTTTCAAAAATATCTGAGTGTCTGTAATGTAGCTAACACACTACTAGCCCTAGTGTTATAAAATGAGTAAGAGCAGCCCTGCCCTTAAGAAATTCATAATGCAGTTGAGAACACCTATATATAACATAGACAGGGAAAGGGTACATCTAATTTGGCTGGTGAATGGGAGATGAGGGAAGCAATAAGTTATTTAGAAGAGAACAATTCCTGAAAAAACCACGGGGCAGCATAAATGAAAGTATGGTGGCAAGAAAAAGAACAGTAATGGGCAAGTGTAAGCAGTCCGGTGTGGGTGGGCCTCAAGTAACCGGCAGGGAAAAGGCAAAAGATAAAGCTGAAGAGGCAGTCATGGGGTAGATCATTAAGAGTCTTAAAAACTAGGACATTAGGTAGTGGACATGGAGGACTATTACCGAAAGGCTTGGAGAAGGGAAATGGCAGTTGGAAGTGGGGGATGGATCTGAAAAGAACAAAGCTGTAGAGAGATTACTCGGGAGGCTATTTCAGTAGTTCGAGGGAGACATTTAACGGGAGACATAACGAGGATCTGAATAGGGTACTGGTAGTCAGCACAGAAATGTAAACACAGATTCAAGAGATATTTAAGAATGAAGTACATGGACTTTGTCGACTCAGGCATTCAGAAGAAGAGAAGCTTTTTAAAGGAAGTTGCTGCATTGGGTTTCAGATATTATTGGGGAACCCAAGAAATATCTGAAAATGTCCTGAAGATAATTTTCTTATAAAAACTGAAACTAAAGAGGAAGGTCTGGGCTGCATATCTGCATTTAGGGGTCACCAGCATATAGGTGAGGTGAAAATCAGAGGAGTAAGTGGAGGCAGTCCAGGGAAAAGACAAAGAAAAGTTATCACAAACAATACAAATTGCTAAGAGAGAGTTAGAATGGAATCATAGTAAGATGTTTTTCCCCTAGAAGAGAAATTGCCTTTTTTTCTGATATTCTAAATGAAATAAACATATATATCATCTACCTCCCATATGCTCAGTATTAAGGAAAAATAAGAGAAATGTAAGCATTACTTCCTAGTCAACACTTTTGCAATACTTTACTTCTCATGTGGATATATACATATAGGTGCTTTTTCTACATAGCTCTCACCTCAAAACATAGAACTTTAATTATATATTTAAAAAAATCTTAGGACACTGTGTTTTATTACTTGTCAGCCACAGGACCATGAGCAGTGACTGAGAGGTGAAAAAAGCATGGGGTTTGGGGTCAAAGGACCTGGGCTCTTCCATTTACTACCTGACTTTGGACAAAAAGACTCAGCTGAATTTTAGATCCTGTAATTGTAAGACAGATAATACTGCTTAGTTCCCACGACTGTTAGAAGATCGACTCAGATTATGATCATGAAAGAACTCTGCCAAAAGTAAAGCTCTGTGTAAGTATTAGCTAACACCATCACTACACCTTCCGTGGGGGACTACCTAGACAGCATGGGAAGTGAGCATTGGAAGATCCATATAAAAGCTGGCAAAGAACTAGCCCGAGAGAAGGCCAAACACAGGTAGACCTGGAAGCCTGCAATCCAGTAGAAGTAAGGGATCTGGAGTTAGGAGCAGGGTTCAGGTCAGAGAGCGTGTGGAGTCATGAACAGAGCCAGTAGGCAGAACACAAGGTTCCACGGATCAGCAGGTATTTTACACTGGGGCAACTGTATGACCTAGTCTAGTAATGTCATAGCTAAACAGACCCAATGTGCAGATTCTGATAAATGGATATTGAAAAAACCTTTTTTCTTTTTTTTCTCCATATTTCTTTTTTTATTGTTGTTGAAGTACAG